TGACTGCGACTGCTACTGGCACTGCCACGGCTACTGCTACTGCTACTGCCGCTGCTACTGCTGCTGCTAATACTACGACTACTTCTCCTACATTACTTCCAATTTCTACTTCTACTACAGTAATACCATTGCTGCTACTCCTCCTCCGCGTCCTCCCCCGTACTCCCAATTTCCCAATTACTCCCCACTCCCTACTCCATCCTACTCCTACTCCTACTCCTTCTCCTACCCCTACACATCTCAATGCCCAAACAGGCTCATACACATACTGATACGTCATCCGTTATACATCATATGTCAAACGTCATTCGTCATGTGTCATAGGTCACACCTGCGCAAGACTGCTGTGTATTTTCAACAAACAGCTTGCCAGGGTTTCCGCCATTTTCCACAAGTCTCCATTGCTATGCCTGTGTATGCAGAATTATGCAGAAAAGTACCCTGCGCGATAGGTTACGACCACTATACCTNNCAGAATAATTCACCCAGTTCAACGCCTGAAGCTCTTCCAAGTGCACCTGCAGCTGTTCGCAAAGGAAAGTCGACTTCGCAACTTCGATTCCCAGTTCGCCTGCTGTCGGCACAGAGTTTTCAGGTCGGCATCACCAAGCTCCATGACCTGACAACGGCATTTCGAAGCTGCAAGTCAAGAGCAACCTGCAGCCACCATGTATAGTTCATCGAATCTTTCTTCGTCTTGCGGCATAATGACCTCAGCACATGCAAGCCGTGATGAATGCCAACAAAAATCACAGAACTTTAGCCAAGCATCGTCATGAAGCTGCACTATGTAAGGATGGTCCTGCAGACCGGCATCATGCGTCGCTCTAAACGGGCAGACTGCAGGCTACGTGTGCGGTCCAGGCGCTGTAGGATAGCAATTTCTCGCAGAATCCTCTTGCAGTTGATCTTATTGCTAAACCTTGCCGTGGCCAGCACGAACTCACCAGGCACAGTCCAATCTAGTCGGAACCTCATGGAATGCATGCACATCCGAGGTAGGAACACAGAGTGAATTCTCTTCACAGCCACCATGCGACCAGCATCTTTATCCAATGCCTCACACGGAAAAGACTGCCTTGCTGTTAAAAATATCAGCCTGTACTCCGCAGACTCTTGTCTGAGCACCGTACTTCCCGAACGGTGCCGTACGAGCCTTGTGATCACAGCGCCACCACACGCCTAAACTTAAGCACCATCCGTAGCTTGTCCGGGCTGGTGCCTGTGCCGATTCTGCCTCTGACATCGTAGCAACCGGGCAGCTTCCACGCCGCGGCCTCCGACAAAGCGGCTCCGTTTCACATCACGCGTTCTGGGCCAGGCGCTTCCTTCAGGGAAAGCGGTGGCCGGGCTGCACGGGTTGCTTGCCTGTTCTACTTTTCTTGAAGCAACGATGGCAGCACTCAGACGTGTCCTCAGGAGCGCACTCCGAAGACTTAGCCTGAGTCGGGGAGCCTGCATCCACGAAGGGGAGAACGAGAGGGAGGGAGGGAGGGAGGGACCGAGGGAGGGAGCGAGAACAAACAAGCAGAGATGATGAGTGCACACAAATATGACATGCTGAAGGGCTCAGATCGCCGAAATCAGCATCGCAACATGCGCTCTAATGTGGGGAAACCACACGTTTGGCATTAGGTGCTGTGCCCTGCAATCTTCCTTGCTCGAACTGGCATCGTTTTCACAGGAAGCTGCGCTCTCGGAGTCTCGTGCACGCTACTGGCGTGGGGGTTTGTCACCGGCAGCGGAACCAAAGGCTACAGCAAAGCCGAAGCTCTTTCCGACCTACAATGACGCCCCGGCGAAGCCTAGAGGTCCTGCAACGAGCTCATCGACACCAGGGGCTTTGGGACAGGGTTGGACAGGGTGGCCGAAAGACTGGCCAAAGGCTTTCAGTCTGCACTGAACACGACAGTTGAAGTCCGACGAGGAGACGTTTCTTTCACACCCCGAAAAGGGCACTTTGTGCAAGCCACTGCCCGCTTCCAACAAAACGCAAAAGAAGCGGAAATGCAACAAAACCAGGCAAGGGCCCTTCTGCCACAATCTGCCACACATCGCCTCGGGGACGATGGAACCTGAAAAAAAATGATTCTCGGAGAAAAGAGGATGGACACGAGATGGAGGGCGTCCTGCAGCGGGCCATGGAATTCCCACTACTGGGTAGCTCGTTGGTGTTGACGGTCATGTCGATACCATCCTGGGCCGAGGGTCTGTCTTAGTCGTCTTGGTCACATCCCTGCGCTATGTGTTGGCGCAGGACCTCACAGAGCCCGCCAGAACTTTCGATCTCACAGGGCGTACTTGATGTCGACTGGATAAGGTTGCAGTTTATGCAGACTTGTCCGCTCCGTAAGAGAAAATAGCTTTCCGACTTTTCTTCCATTGAGGACGGGCATGCTCGCACAGCCAGCAAACAAGTCTTGGCTAACCTTGCGGATGCTACAAATCTGGCTGAAGTGGAGACAGCACTGCGCTTACTCCACCCTCCTGCGGGTCATTCCCGGAGCTATGCCCTGTTGGAGGTCAAAAGGATGCGCGCCGCCCCCAGCGACACCATCCACGAACTGCACGCATCTCGGCGAAGGCCGAATCCTTGACATGGACTCGGCCCACACGTGCAGTTACGCCTGGTTCCGCCTGCCACATGAGCCCGACATTGCGGCGAGGAGGACAGGATCTCTGCCTGGAGGGTTTCTATGATCTTGTCTTCTCCTTCCTCTTCACGCGAGCGCTGGCACAAGTCCGGGAGTGCTGGCACAACTCAAGAAAGCACTGCCGCCGGCCTGCTGCTTTGCTCGGATGCCCCGAGATGTAGCAACGCAAGGTCGCCTGACCCCTCTTAGTCTTGACTGCGCACACTCCGACGCCCTGGGCTCCTTGGCTCGAATTGGATGAAGGATTTCGTATTGCTCCTCAAAGCACCAACTGCCGCCTCCTCCTCCTCAACCTTGCCAGCGTTTGGTGAGTCCGGAGCACCGGCGGGGAGTTGACTGGCGCGACCCTCCCTCCCAATTGGGGGGAATTGCCGTGGGCGCTCATGCCTTTAAGAGGACGGGCGAACGAATGGAATTCGGAAGCTCGTGAATCCTCATTCGAGCTGCGTAGCGTCCTGATGCGCCTCGGTGGGCCAACCAGGCGCGTCTTCATGCTCCAGCAAGCAGGTGTTTTTTGGCGGTTTGGATGTGCCATGCTTGACCTGCATCTTCTGGTCCGACAGGAGCGTGTTCTTCAGGATCGAGGCAGGGTCTGAACTTGCGAGCCCAGTACTCCCTGCTCGGCTTCACGCTCAAGATGCAGACGACAGCGCAGCACTCCGCACCGACAGAATGTTAGAAGCCACAAGCGAGACCGCAGGAGAAGTCGCATTCGAGAGAAGCTACAAGCGAAGACTCGACTCTACCTGTCTGGAGCAGTGTTTGCGAGGAGCCAGAACATTGTGTCGCCGAACGACCTAAATTGTTGGACGGTGTGCAAACCATGGGCTGTGTTGACATGACGACCCAATGTGTCGCAGTGAAGACATGACTCTGGGCTGCATGTGCGCTTTGATGCAGTATAGCCGGGACGGGGAGTAAGCAGACAAGCGGAAGGAAACAGCATGGGAGAGAGAGGCACCATGCGAACCGTTTGGACTGTGAAGAGTTTCCTAGATGAGCCTGGTTGTGTCTTCTTGCGTCGATGCTTTCGGCCGGTCTTTCCAGCACCCTGGCAAGACAGAGACGCCAACATCGACCAGAACATCGAAGTTGCACAAGCCCTCGAAAGCCCTCGCCTGTGTCAAGAGCGTTAGACTGCCTATCTCGGCATGACCGACCTGGGAGAAAAGCCAACTCAACTAACTCGACTCGAGCATTGTCAGTAGCACTTCGTCGCTAAGCGAGTCCAAGGCTTCCATTTCGAATGCCGGACTCCCGGCACCTTTCGTCCTTGAGCCTGCTGCGCAATCACAAGCTCAGGTACAACGTTCTGAAATCAAACACCCAGGCGAAATTCTTGTGTTTCTACATGCTGGCTCGGACGTACACCGCTCCTACCATCGCACGTTGCTGTCTCTCTGATCATACCGGAGAGCCATATGAAACACGCCAGCATAACATAGCTGACATACTCTTGACCACCCACATCTCTCCGGTTTGCCGTGTCTGACAGCAACAGTGTCAAGGGACAGATTGCTTAAAGTTGCCACAACAAGGTGCGGATTCAAATCTTGCACAGGCCTAACATGATACCACGAATCATCTTTGCAGTCAGAGTTAAGGAACTGGCAAACAACTCCCATGCTTCAGGACTGCAAAACGACTTCTCAAGCAGGCATCTACGGAAAATGGCCCGCCATGCATCATGTTAAACTGCATGACATGAATTGCACGTGGGCTAAATAGCCAAAACCACTTGGATGCAGAGTCAAGGGCGCAGGCCAGCCATCATTGCACGCACTGGCATGTGCCACTACGCACGAGACTGGCAGACGCCTCTTGCTAGCTTCCGACCACTTCGGGATGTGTACAAAGTCGAGCGTGATAGCCCCTCCTGCCTCACTTGGGGATCTGTACAACAAGTGAAGAACCTCGAGCCAATGCGGGGGCAAGCCTCTGGAAGCTGTAGGCCTAGCTCTGACCTCATGCTGCCAAGAAGCTGGCATGCGAAGTGCACCACGCCATCCAAACGCTGACTGTCGACTCACAGCCAGCTTTTGCATAAATGGGGCAATCCGTAGGTGGCAGCGGATGATGTGCCACAAAGCCCAATTTGCAGTGAAGAAGCCTACATGGTTACCAGCTTGCTCTTCGTCCAGAGCACCCACCGTATTTATCAACACTGACACACACAAGAGAGGATGAAATCAAACTTGCAGAGCAGCACGGCACACGTCTGCTACATGTCTGTGCAAGGCAGCTGTGCAGCTTCCCACACGAACCGCTTGCAGCAGGCAGCTTGGCCCAAGCTCATGTCAGGCCAGATCACAGCACTTGCAGCGCTTGGGCTGCCCCTTTCCCAGATCAAACAATCATCGCACAAGACTGCTGATGTCGTGGGACGGGACTGTGAGCCATCTGCATCAGCCTTAGCGGATCTCAGCGGCTTTGTGGAAGCGGGCCACGTGAACACGCTATGATTCAACTCGAATTCCAACGAAATTCCACTGAGCCTTTGGCCAACCACTCTGCAAGCATTTGTCTGCCTTGTCTGGCACATCCCAGAAGCGCATCTCACAATATGCGACATGCCATACTATCAGGAACCCGACACTTGGTCGTGAAAGAGGATCCACGTTCAGCATACTCAAAATTAGCTCCATCGCCTGCTGGCATGGAAAATCGCACTGGACTGGGTGACCTTGCAGTCCGGCCTCGCTGTCGCAGAGTGGCTTTTGCCAGTGCCGTAACAAGTCCTGTGCGCAGCGAGAAACCGAAGACAAAACAGCATCCTCCCGCCCCTGCACCGCCCGGGCCCTTTGATGCTGCGCCTTCAACCCATTTTGCTGGTTCTTGTAGACGTATGCAAAGAACTCGTCGCTCAGCTGAGCGGTGACCCAAGGGCCATTGCCGTAGCCTACGGCAGTCTCTGAGAGTTTGCTTGGCAGTCTAGAGCCCCGCGTCAGTCTAGAGCCCCGGGCTCATGCAGAAGAGGCATATGCCTCAACAGCCAACATATTCCAACATCCCTGGAACCGTTTGCTATCCACCAGGATCCGTGCCACAGGAAAACACGTCAGCAGGCTGCACAGCGTAGCCTGTTGGAGTGGGTCTCAGACTGTGAGGACAGCTTTGGTTTTGTGATCTGTATGCTGTTCTTGGAACTTCAACAGTATGTGAAAGACAACGAGACATCGTCCAGCCGTGTTGCAGATGGGCATCATCAGCCACGACTCAAACTGAAGCACCGCTAAGTTTCAAGCCAGAACTGGCGATGCAATGTCCAAGCTGAAACATTGGAGAGTGGACGGGAGGAAAGCATAGCTTTTGACATAGTGGGCGAGCTCGCGATTCGCACGGTCACGGTTGTCGCGTTGAGTC